GGGGGGGGGGGGGGGGGGGGGGGGTCGCGGAGTGGAGATGAGCTGTAGTGATGTCACATCTGCTGCAGGCCGACAGGATGGCAGAGGAAAGCTGGCATGTGCCACACAGGGGGAGGATGGGGAGAAAACTAAATGCGTGGGAAGGAAGAAAAAAAGAGAAGGATTTTCTATCAAAGCGCACCTTTATTTGTGAGAGACGTGCAAGTTACAGAGTCTTTAAACATGAAAGCAGATCTGATACTGAGGTAGAACGTGACAGTAACAGTGCTCAGATTGAAACAGAGCTGTGCTGAAAACAAACGGTGTGAGGACAGCCGCAGAGTTGTTTGAAAGCTGCGTGCTGTATTTCTGTGCCACCTGTGTATGTGGCTTCAAGGCTGTTTAAGGCTCAGGATTGTTGTGTAAATATAAACCATCATTAGATGATTAAATAAATGTATCTTGCTTGTTTGGGCTACTGGTTGGTGTCAAAGATGAACTGTGCAAACAGACCATGAATGGTACCCGCTGGATTTGATGAAGAATATGCAAATCATGTTGACATTTTTGCTTCTATTAAGGGGATTTCTGGACAATAATTTCAGATTTTTGGACAATAAAGTCAGAGCATCAGGAGTAAATAGATGATGTCTGCAGGTGGAGTTGCAGTTTGTGGAGTTGGTTCATTTGTTTGGAGGTGACTCGTTGGGTTTATTGGGAATTTATGTTTGAGATGTGACATTAAAATAAGCATTATCTGAATGTAGGCCATCATGTTGTGAGTTAGATAAAGTGTCCATATTCTGGTAAAATCAAGTGCTGTGTCATAGCTGTTCCATTATTCATTATCTGTGGAGCAGCTCCAAGATTAGTCTCTAAATAACATCATGACTACAGTCTGTCTCTCTGTTGTTTAGTTTAAGAGGAGACATTAAAGCTGAGTTGTGCAGGATGATAAGGATACAATTGTAAATTTCATTTTATGGTGGGTTTACACAGACACATTATAGAGGTTTTGCTGAGACATTTTTTGCAGGACACGTCATTTCGTTCCCTGGATGTTAGCACAACAAGAGAAGCAGTAAAAATGACAGTTTTATAAATGGGGTTCACTGCCCGAACCCACAGTTTAAACTGCACGAGATCCTATCTGTCTATCTACAACAACAATCCTTTATGGCGTATACCTTAGGGATTGGCTAATTCTGTCTGGATTCAAACCAGTGACATCTGTCATTGCAAATGTCCACATCGTCAACCGTCGAACTGACATTCACACTCTAGCTTTCTTTTGTTATCCTTCAATTTATCTTGAACACATGCTGTTTAACTTCCTCCTGTCAAGCCACAGAAGCATCCTCTGGGTGCAGCCTGCGTTAGTTCTGTCTGCCGCTGTGTTGCTATCACTACCAGTCAGGTGTCACAACAGTTTCCCTGACAGGTTTGTGCTTCCACTGTGGCGTCTAGAAAAGCAGCAACAGGGATCTGAACATGCTGTTCACCAGCTCTCTCTTCAGATTTTCTTCAATCTCACTGTCATAAGTCTGCGTGCACACAGTATGTCTGAAGGTTTTGTTTTTTTTTGGTTGATTTTTCTTTTTATATTTAAGTGTAAAAGTTGTCTAACTGTACCAGCATTTGAGTAATGGACCAAATAATTAAAAATCTGACCCCTTTTCTATTTTTCAGTAATATAGACCACATTATTAATTTAAATGACAATGCGTGAAAGGCATTTCAGTGGGAATGCTACGCAACGAGCCCGAGATCTATTAATACAAGTGGGTACATCAGATCTTGTGTAGTACAAGACCAGCTTTCTGGTGACTAAAATAGGACTTAGCTCTCGTGTATATGACTGCCATATTCTGATTCAGCCTTTAGTGTTATCACTGCCTACCAGCCCTGCTTGCCAGGTACTCTGTGCATGTGTGTACTAAATGTGACTCTTAGTGAATACAAATGAAACAGGATTCACTTCTCAGAAGAGAAACACTCCCACTGTAATGCATGAAGTATTCCATATCTTGTGCCATATTATCAACACTTCATTTTGATCCATCTTTATTAGTTTCATGTAATAATACTAATGCAGATTAGGCAGACTTCATTCTCTGTCTTAAAATATAAGAACTATTATGGATGTAAAGGTTATTGATTGATATAATCATGGAATAGGCAAATAAAGCTAAAGATCTAACTGCATGATAAAAATGAGAGATTTCATACTTTAAAATGAAAAAAAAAGCTATATTAGTCGTGACTAAACTCCTGGAAGTTCATTCTGTTGGATTCTTCTCTGTTCTGCTCTGAAGCATGAGGAAGATGTTCGCAGCGTTTGCCAGCAGAGGGAGATGCTGTTCTATCACGTCTCCATGTGTCAGTCCATCAGCACTGAACAGACATGAACAGACAGCAGACTGGGGAATCACTGTTTCCAACTAGATCTGGGCTCCTAGATCTGGGCTTGTGTTATAACAAAATGCTTTTTTTTTTATTTCCCCTGCAACTGTTTAATTATTTATTTTCTGTCATAACCACAAAGGCAGATGTCTTGATTGGACCACCGATATTTTACCTAGAAAGAGATTTTGAGTTGCATCTTTTTCCACAATTTAACAGAGTGATGTAACAAGAAAAGACTGACAACATTAAAACACTGGAAGAAATATATTCCACCGGTGTCATTACAACATGAAAATCCAGGTCCAAGCAGTTAGATGGATTGTTTAATTTTTCATTATGATGTAGCTCACAATTCACACTAGATATTTTTGTGGCATTGTCTCCTTCAATCTGAGCGGTGAACACAAGCTGAAGCTGATACTCTGTTCTGTGCCTGACGTGTGGTTTGTGCATTAAGAGTGACTGGTGTGGGTCAGATGTGTTTACTCTCTCAATGAAATGCATCGCTTTACTTCTCTCATCTGCGCTCCTGGCTTATATAATTCTACAAGCTGACTGGTGGCTCAAGTGAAAGCCTCAACAAATTGAGCTTTAAATGCACTTTGAGACCACTTCAAATATATTTGCTTGTAAACATTAGAGTGGTTATTGATTAAAAGTGAGGCTGCAGATTATACCCTTACATAATCTCGGGCTACGACAGGCTCAAGACTGTGGTCTAAAGGATTTGAGTCATCAGCGAAGGGAATCATTTTTCATGAAGCTTTACAAAGTTGGCTTGAATTAAACAGCATATTTAGGTAACAAGTCAGTGTCACAGATTTACTGAACAGTGTAAACAGAACGCCTGAGTTACACTCGATGTATTTAATAAAGGGTCAGTCAAGGCAAAATTTTTTTAATTTTGTGATTGTTAATGTCAGAACAGACTGTAACTTACTAGATGACCAGTGCTAGTTCAAATAGTTCCAGCAGCCCTAGCGAAATAATTTCACTATCCCCTTATTCACCGTCACTGATTATTATAGACTGAATAAGGTTCAAAGCCCCTGTCATAAAAAAGCTTCATAAATGCACCAGGTTGGAAAAATATTCTCACACACTGCAGATTTCACAGGATATAATCCTGACAGTTTTTGTCCAAGACAACATAAGATAAATGTTATATATCCTGGAGGAAGTTTTGCATGTATGTACAGATTTAAACTGACCCAAAGTTGCAAGTAATTCCAGGCTGAGGGATGACTGAAGATCATTTCATGTCTGAGGGGCATCACATCCAATGCAGCACTTAAATAAATAATACTGAACCTGGGGAACAAGTCAGTCCTGTAAATGGGCCTTGTAGGTCCCAGAGTTTCTGTTAAGTTGATATTTAATGTGGCATGGTAGAAGCCTCGAAAGGGCTTCATGTTTAGATTTATGGCAGTCTTCCCTCCAAACAGACATGGGTGGGGCCCAACTTTATTATGCACAATGACATTTTAAGACTGTATTTAAAATAGGTCATAAATTATAGAGCAGAGTAGAGTATAGAGTTATAGTTTGAATTTACGGGTCATCATGTCTGTCTGATACTTGCTTCAATGAAAAAACAAAGGGCTACTAGGGTCACTCATTATAAACTCTGTCTGTTCAAACTCAACAAACAAATGAATTATAGTGAAGATCTCTAAGTGTCCGAAAACTACCTAATATGTCAGGTGTAGTTGCATTTCGTAGAATGATGCTGTGACAAAAACATGAAGCCATTTGGTTTTGAATGTTTAACACAGTGTAAACATCATATAACTTCAATGAAGAGCTGGAACAAGCTGATACACAGCAGAGTATGACGCTGTCAGACTGTAAAATAATATTTGTCTATCCAATATGGATGTTGAATAGGCTGATAGCTGTTAACTGTTCCTAACAGTTGGGACCCACCTTGAATCACTTTGGGGGACACTGGGTCCTGAACAAGACAAACTAGGGGCCCATGTCAGGGAGGTAGGCCCGTGTTTGTCCCGGTCTGTGTGTCGGGATGGGCGGAGGAGCTCTGAGGAGGCGGGGCCTTTGTTTGTTCGTGTCTCGGCTGGCAGGAACAAAGGGTCCTGTAGTAGTAGTAGATAGGTAGCACTGTCCTCCGTACAAATGATATTTAAAACATATAGTCGGGGGTTGCAAATTGACTGGAACCAAGGGAACTAGCGGGAGCGTTTTACTTACCGTCGCTTGCCGTCTTGTTTGGGATCGTAGGACTGCATTATTAGCGGCCGGCGCTGGAGCTTTCCCCATCCAGCCGCTCCGGCTAGCACCGAGGCTAGCTGGCTAGAAACACCGAGCGGAGGTGTTGAGCAACACCGCGTTTCGGTGGACCTTTCTCTGCAGGTAACTCAAACTTACAACCGCTCTACTTTTGCAGCACCACTGGTTCAAAATAAACCGCTGAAAACTGTTCGTAAACAAGCACGGGAAATTAGTAGTGGACGGCGCTGATAACGGTTGTTTAGCAACTAGGTTAATAGCTTAGCAATGGCATCCGTCCTCCGCAAACGGTTAACGAATGCGGCCCTTGGGTTCAGTTTACGCCCGGTCCTGTATGGTAAAATAAACACTGGCTTACTTTTAAATGTCCACGGTGCATGTCCACACATCGAGCCATAAGCAGAGGCCAATAAGCAGAGCAAGTATGTTGGGAGGCTTTGCACATTGCTTTGGATGTTTTACTGGCTGAGGGCCAGCCCCTGGATGCAGCTCTATTGTTCGCAATGAACAGTTTGGGCGGACTAAAGTGCACCAGTTTAATTTATTTAAAGTTAACTTATGAGCAGTCGTGCATCAGAAGCTCTCATCTGATTTTACACAGGTTCCTAAATGAAGCTTGCTCTCAGACTGCAGTCAGGCTTATTCATCTGTATTTGTCATGTGTACTTAAACCCAAGACGCTTCCCTGATCCTGTCTTTCATGAAGACGTTATGTTTGGCCCGTGAAATTATTATTACATAGATGCTTCTGTTTGACTGGGACCTGTAATCTGCAGATATTGTGTCGATAGGTTAAATTTGGTTGACCTTACTTTATTTGGGTGGGAGTGTATATTAGTGTTTATTAGTCGTGAAAATGATATGCCTGTCAGCAGTTTTGCAGATTGTTTCAGAATATGCAGGTATTATATATTAGAGATGATATGATACATCTTTATTTGACAGCAGACATCGTGATTAGTTTTAGTGGAGGAGTTTTATTGTGGAGGAATTATTTGTTGCAGTGGAATTTGTGTTTTGCACAATGTTCATTAGCATCAGACTGAACAAAGACTTATCATATAGGGTTGAATGCTGTCTGGGGCTAATGGCTGGTGCTGTGTTGGGGGGGTGGGTCTATAGGTCAGAGGTAATGCGTAGAGAACCATTGAGCAAGTTCGCCCCCATGGTAATGAGGAGGAGAACATGACCTGCCATGACTCTCTCGGGTATACTGAAGTAAGGAAGAAAGGGGTGAAAGTGAATTAAGGAGGAGTTGTAGTTGTTGAAGGAGCCGAAAGAGTTCACACAGGCATATTTAACCACAACTCGTGCCCCTCTCCCTCTATTTGTGTCTGTTGTGACTTTAACCACCACGATTTGTGGATTGGTCTGTCTGTGGGGCATCCATCAGTTCGCCGAAAGTGATGTGAAAAGATAAAAAAAAATAAAACATCCCAGTTAGGTTTGATCCTGCATTAAAGTGACCCCTGTTGGGAGTCCCATGTTTCTACCCCTTGTCTGTTTTGATTTGTTACAACTACCATTTCATATGCCAAGCTGACAGTGACTGACTGCTTTGCATAAATTGTGACTAAGTCAAAGTAACAAATTAACATTTCGTTACCTTCAAGTACCTGTTGGGAATACCTGATTTACAAGTATGCATAAACACCATTATCAAATGGGCATACACAGAAACAGTCAGGATCTTGTATGATCCAACATTTCTTTACCCTGTTATGAATGTATCACTATCACATATGTTAAATTCCTCTAGATAACTTTAATATTTTTCTGTATCTGTGCTAAAAAAAAATAGGGTAACTGCACAGTGGTCATGGGGGGCCAGTCTAGGTCAAATTTCTTGGAGTTGTTTTTCTCAGTCATCCCAGTCTGCCACTGTGTCTGAATGTGTATAAAATATCTTTGGTTAGACCTCATTACACACAGTCGCTGTCTGTGTGAGGTCTCATTGAGTAGAGATGCAGAATAGATGTTTTCTCAGAGCCCTGAATTGTTTGAGCGTGAATTCCTTATCTGGGCAGACAAGGGTTAACAACAGCTAGGGTAGCCAGTGGGGGGATGGGTAGAGGAGGCAACTAGAGGGGGAGAAACACACAGTACAGAGCAGCATGGTTAGGCTCACATTGGGCTGGATGTGGAGGGTTCCCTGTAATGGTACGGATGGTACAAGAACACAAAGAACATGCCAGACCATCTCCTCTCCTAGTATCCTCCCATTTCACTGATTGTTTTCTCAGATTTTCTGCAGGCTAATAAATATTGCTGTGCCCCCCCACCCACCCACCCATGATGATTTGTTTTCTTGTCCATTTACCAGATTGAAGATACATTAGATAATGAAAGCAGCAGGAAATTGTTTTGGCAGCATGCTTTTATTTGAGTAAATCTCGACAAAATCATCCCACATTAGATTACTTAGATGATGCTGTGATTTGAATGAGCTAAATCTAAATCTCCTCTAAATCTCTGCTCTTTTTCCCCCCTCCTCCTCTGCCCTGTGGTTGTGTGCAGGCTGTTCGTCAAAGTCATTCAAGCTGTACTCTCCTAAGGAGCCCCCCAACGGCGGCAGCTTTCCCCCCTTCCACCCAGGCGCTATGCTGGACAGAGATGTGGGGTAGGTCTGGGTTATACTGTCAGGACAGGAGATGCTCTGTGAAAAGGAAAATATGTCTAAAACTAGGGCACCTTTTGCATTAATTTAGTCATTAAATCTTGTAATTTATTACGTTTCTGATGTCTCCTTTTTACGTCTTGCGTCTTAATTTCATAATTTGTTGCTTTGACCTAGATATTTTTTAAAGAAGAATACAACACATCTATTCGAGATATTGATTTGTTTTTATAAATAATGTTCTGTATTGAAGTTTTATGATTAATATTTTGGTGTGTTTCAAAGCATATTTTTCAAATCAGGCTGTTTGATCATCCCATCTTTGAAAGAAATGAGAGTTGACTACACAGAAACATGCTGGTTTTAAATGTGTTGCCTAAAATAGCAAAAATGGAGAAGAAGCAACATATGGCTTAATTAAAAGTGTTCTTATTAAATGTATTCTTGTGTGTTGCGAGTGCTGAATATTTTCACTTGTTTTTCTGTACCTCCCTGCTCTATCTTTACCTGAAACTCCATGTTAGTCACGTAAGATAAGGAACTGGCTCTTAGCAGCTCTGAAATGAAATGAAAGATTTAAAGGGCATGTCATGTAATGCATTTGCCATATAGAATGAAAAGCTGATCTTACTTTGGTTTCTTATAAAAATAGTTGCTGATTATATTTTTTTCCCTCCTAGGCCTACACCCATGTACCCCCCCTCATACATGGAGCCTGGAATGGGGTGAGTACACTGATGCTTTAATAGTGAGCATATATTTGTGGTTTGCCCTAGCTCGGAAGTAATTTATAAAACATTTATACTGGGTATAATACCTCTTTTCATGTTATAAATGTAAGCATTAAATTCACCTGCGATTAACTTTAGTATGAGCCTGCTCTTGGCTCATACCATTTGTTTGCACTGCGGGTGTGGAAAAGTCACTGAAGCAGCTCAAACTCTGGAGTGTTGAATGCTGTTTTCTGTTTCAGGAGACCCACACCGTACGGGAACCAGACAGACTACAGGATATATGAGTTGAACAAAAGGCTACAGAACTGGACAGAGGTGAGAGTGACGTCATCATTTACATAGAGTGTAGTAAAATAATTTTCATTTCATTTTCAAGTTGGTTGTTATTACCATCTGCAATACGTGCTTCATGCTGCAGCTTCTGTGAACTACTTACTCTTGACATGTTTCCCCCCCAGATGCTGTTTTTGTGTAGCTAACCATGCTAGGGATTTTGTGGGAAATTAAGATTGAGAACTCACTGACTTAATTTACATTCAGAGTCTAATAGGATTATCTGATCAACCAGGCTAAAACATAATTGGAGTGCCAACTGAGCGCGCAACTGAGTAGCCGTTACAAGCCTTTCTTTGCTGTGAATGTCAGTCTGCACACCAGAACAAATACAGACACTATAACCTGTCTACGCTGGAGGGATGTCAGTTGCAGTTATATTTAAGGCCAAGCACAACGTCAGATATTTGATTGAACTGCATGCCAAATACTCTTTGAGGAAACGTTCAGGGCCGCTTGCGTGCCTCCCATGTTGGGTGGATGACCATCATAAAGCAAGAAGCGATTAGGGTAATATAAGTGGTACATTTTAGGAAATAGGAATTTCTGCTTCTTCTTTTTCTGCAATTATGAAGTGTTTTTAAACATCAATAATGTTTATTTATTTATATTATCTTATCTCAACTTCCTCACCTGTCTGTAGCAAACACAACAGCTATTGTTTTTGATAACTGACATTTACTCCTACCAGGGTTGAATATAAGCTGGTATTTTTTTCTTCTAACATGTGACCCATTTAGATTGTTTTATTAAACTCAACCTGAAGCAGAACTGTTTCATGTTAACAAGGAGAACATTAACATCTATTCTGTCTTCTTCCTGTTTTAGACTTGATTGATATGTTTTATTTTATTGTGATTATTATTAAGTTAAGATTATCAAGTAAATCGGCTCATGTGCCATTTTCACAACATTTTCCTTTCAGATTTATAGGAATGAAAAACAGAGTAATCGTTCTTCCTCTGCTTTCAGGACTGTGACAATCTCTGGTGGGATGCCTTCACCACAGAGTTTTTTGAGGATGACGCCATGCTCACCATCACTTTCTGTCTGGAAGATGGACCCAAACGATACAGTGAGATATTTTTATTTTAAAAACAGAACCTTGAGTTTCAGGTGCAGGTATTTTCGGTTTATTATTAGGAATGTTAATGCAGTGTGATCTATATCTCATCTTCAAATTTCCATATATTTTTATCTTAATATTTTGAGTTTTCAAATGTGCTTGAGAATTTAATTGTAAAATAAGCATTGGCATAAAACTGTTAGTAGCATAATGTGTGTCCTTTCTGCTTTATTTTCGTCCTGTAACCTCCCACATTCCCAATGTGGGTGATTCTGTTTCATTTTTTTGGTATTCATTTTAATTGATGGATCGTTTTTGTCTGCAGCCATCGGCAGGACGTTGATCCCACGCTACTTTCGAAGTATTTTTGAAGGGGGCGCCACTGAGTTGTTCTATGTTTTGAAGCACCCAAAGGAGTCCTTCCACAGCAACTTTGTGTCTCTCGACTGTGACCAGTGCACCATGGTGACCCAGAATGGCAAACCTATGTTCACACAGGTATGGTTAATGTCAAACAGAATAAGTCTTTGCTCCTGTAGCTGGCGTCATGAGCTCTGACCCCTGATCTCCCTCCTGTGGATAAGGTTTGTGTGGAGGGCCGTCTGTACCTAGAGTTCATGTTCGATGACATGATGAGGATCAAGACGTGGCACTTCAGCATCAGACAACACAGAGAGGTCTTACCAAGGAGCATTTTGGCTATGCATGTGAGTTCCAGACTCAAAAAAAAAAACACACACACACACACACACACACACACACACACACACACACACACACACACACACTCAAAATGCACATCCTGTACGTTTTAATTATTCATCTCTTCTTTTAACTCAATCACGCAGGATCCCCAGATGCTCGATCAGCTGGCTAAAAATATCACCAGATGTGGGCTGTCCAACTCCACGCTCAACTACCTCCGTGTAAGCAAATTTCCATGTCATAATGTTATTCTTTTTTTAATCATTCAGTTCACCCCAGCTATACATTCAACAATCCGCTAACGCTACTTCATGCCTCTGTGGTTCCTCTCTTTGTCTCCCCTAAAGCTATGTGTGATATTGGAGCCCATGCAAGAGTTGATGTCCAGGCATAAGACCTACAGCTTGAGCCCCAGAGACTGCCTGAAGACCTGCCTCTTCCAAAAGTGGCAAAGAATGGTAGCCCCTCCAGGTAACACACACTTTTGATATTGCCAGTGGCATTTACAGCAGTGTGGCCCTTACATTCATAAAGTCATGGAGGACCCACAAAGAAATCACACTGCAGTTACATGACTTTCTCAACAGGGCTGAGAAATAACAGATTTTTAGAGAGTGAAATATTCGATCATGATATATCGTCTTCCCTTCTGTATTTGTAGCTGAGCCAGCCAGACAAGCTCCAAACAAGCGGCGGAAAAGGAAGGTGTCTGGAGGAAGCACCGTGAGCTCCGGCGGAGGCAGCAACAACAACAGCAACAGCAAAAAGAAGAGTCCAGCCAACAGCTTTTCACTCTCCAGCCAGGTACCTGTAAGCATTACATCTGCTTGACCTCTATCTGCACCTCCAAGTTCAGCTGAGCAAGGCATGGGAGGATGAGATGGAGCGGTGCGGTGTGACACGGGGGGGGGGGGTTGGGAAAGGAAGGCAAGGAGGTTAGAAAGTTATTTGCGGGCGTAGGGGGTGGTAGTTGGGGTTGGTACTGTGCCAAGGAGTAGGTATAGCAGCAGGTCAGGGTAAAGATAGCTTAGTGAGGCTTCTGGAGGTGGGGTTTGGATTCAGGTGTGGTGGTGGGGGGTAGGGGTTGATTTGTATAATTCTACTGAGGATTATTAGATTTAGTAAGTAGATCCCCTCATGTGAACCAGTGATGGGCAGTCCCTGGTCCTCTGGGGCCACAGGTTTATGGGTTTATATAGAGGGGGCACAAGTGACCTCCATCTCTAAGTAATGGTTACTATATTTTGGGGCCATGGGGTAGGGTTACCTTGCTCTGATTTCCAGTGGGACAGTTAGGTTTTCTCTCTAAATCCGCTGTATCAACTTTGGTTGTAGAGTTACCTCTAAGTCTATCAGAGCACACGAGTCACACAGCACTGCTGTCTTTGCTTACTTGGTTGCTTGATTGAGTGAACGAGACCCGAGGTGGAATGAAACCCCCCCCCCACTCCCGTGATGCAGCACTCAAGGATCAGGGATGCCCACTGCTGGCCAGTAGGGAGGGCCCCTCGACCCTGGTTCTTGGAACAGGGGCAGGGTGTCAGGGCCACATGGACTACTGAACTGTCAGGGATTATGCCCTGGTAACACTAATGCCTCAGGATTTTAACACTTGGGTTCCTTTGGTCCCTAAAACGTAGCTTGAAGTATCGATTATAGTGCATTTCATTAGTCAAAATGAATTTGTAAAGCTGGAATTGAACCCAGTTTGATCGCATCTAGACCGTAGGAAAAAAAAACGTTACAGTTACAACCCGTCCGTGCAGCCAGTCATTCCGCGAACCCCCCTGTATTATGGGGATAATATGTACCGGCCCTTGCTGTCCCCTTTAGGACGTGATGATGGTGGGAGAGCCCACTCTGATGGGAGGGGAGTTTGGTGACGAGGACGAGCGTCTGATCACGCGGCTGGAGAACACGCAGTACGATGGGGCGAATGGCCTGGAGGATGAGGACAGTTTCAACAGCTCGCCTGCACTGGGGGCACACTCGCCCTGGAACAACAAAGCCCCCTCCAGTCAGGAGAGCAAGAACGACAACTCCCAGTCGTCCCAGTAGAGTGCTGAGGCCCCAGTCAGCCCCTTTTTCATTGCTTAAAAAACTACTGGGACCCACCTGAGCCAACACGCTAGCGAGAGGAGTCAGGGAGGGTGGCCTCGAGCACTTGTGTTCAATGAATTTTTTTGTTTTGTTCCGTTATGTTATTTTTAAGACAAAAGGAGAGTGATCAGGGAAAGGGATGATAGCTGATGGACTGATAGAGCTCTTTGCTGTCACATGAAGGACAGGGTCAGTAGAATCCCACTCTCGCTCCCTCACATTGTTGCACATGACCAGTGGTGCTCAGCCTTGGCCCTTGTCTGCTCGGCTCCAGTCAGTCCTCTTAGATGTGTGGTGAGGCTGGCGGGGTGGCAGTGTGTGTGCGTGTGTGTTTATACCCCCCCATCATCGCTCACCACAGTGTTTGGGCCAAAGTTGTGGCGTGTCCTGATGTCCGAGTGCTCGCCATGGCGACCATGTCAGTGGGTTCTTGTTCCAACCTCGGGTCTCTCAGGCGTGCGTTTTCCTTGACGACGCACCTCGTTGTTTCTGTTGTGCTCATTTCACAGGGAAGAAATGCTTAACTTATTTTTTTGCAGGCTGCAGAAAACTGTGTGCACTCTTAGTATCGAAATTCAACGTTCGGTTTTTAAAAACTCAATTATTTGTTTTTGTAGGACCTGGTTGGAACAAAAACCTGTACAGTGCCGGAGCTTGAGGACCGGAGTTGAGAACCACTACGCTAAATCTTAAACACACACACACACACACACACACACACACACACACACACACACACACACACACACACACACCGATAATATGTACCGGCCCTTGGCTCTTCCCCTTAGGACGTGATGATGGTGGGGAGAGCCCACTCTGAGGGGAGTTTGGTGACGAGGACGAGCGTCTGATCACGCGGCTGGAGAACACGCAGTACATGGCGAATGGCCTGGAGGGATGGGACAGTTCAACAGCTCGCCTGCACCTGGGCACACTCGCATACAACAAACCCCTCACAGTCAGAGAGAGAACGACCAGTCGTCCCCAGTAGAGTGCTGAGGCCCCAGTCAGCCCCTTTTTCTTGCTTAAAAAAACTACTGGGACCTCACCTGAGCCAACACGCTAGCGAGAGGAGTCAGGGAGGGTGGCCTCGAGCACTTTGTTCAATGAATTTTTTTTGGTTTTGTTGCCGTTATGTTATTTTTAAGACAAAAGGAGAGTGATCAGGGAAAGGGATGGTAGCTGGATGACGTGATAGAGCTCTTTGCTGTCACATGAAGGACAGGGTCAGTAGAATCCCACTCTCGCTCCCTCACATTGTTGCACATGACCAGTGGTGCTTCAGCCTTGGCCCTTGTCTGCTCGGCTCCAGTCAGTCCTCTTAGTATGTGTGGTGAGGCTGGCGGGGTGGCAGGTGTTGTGCGTGTGTGTTTATTTACCCCCCCATCATCGATCACCACAGTGTTTGGGCCAAAGTATGTGGCGTGTCCTGATGTCCGAGTGCTCGCCATGGCGACCATGTCAGGTGCGGTTCTTGTTCCAACCTCGGGTCTCTCAGGCTCGTGCGTCCTTGACGACGCACCTCCGTTTTTCTGTTGTGCTCATTTCACAGGGAAGAAATGCCTTAACTTATTTTTTTGGCCAGGCTGCAGAAAACTGTGTGCACTCTTAGTTATTCGTAATTCAACGTTCGGTTTTTAAAAACTCTCATTATTTTGTTTGTAGGGACGCTGGGCTTAGCAGAACAAAACCCTGCGTACAGTGCCGGGCTGAGGACCCGGTGAGAACCCACTACGCTAAATCTTAAACACACCACACTACTACCACAACAACACACA